GTGATTTAGCTGCAGTTTACATAGAGCGAATTAACAAATAGTCCTGGCCATTGTTTCTTCAAAAGTTTTTCTGTTCTTCCTGACCCCCTTCCTGCCTGGAACTCCAACTGCCCGTCTGTTAGATTTCCTGATTTCGTCCCCCGGGGTCCTGGGGCTCTGCTATTAATTTTTGTTGTTGTTCCAGTTTTCTCTCTTCAGTTTAGATGGTTCCTATTGCTATGTTTTCAAACTTACTGATCTTTTTATTTTCTATAACTTTTCTCTTAAGCCTAGCCAGTGAGTTTTTCATTTTGGATATTGAGTTGTTCATCTCTGAACGTTTGATTTGATACTTTTATAGTTTTGATTTTTCTCACATTATATTCAAGTTGTCTTTATTTAAGCCTATGTTAAGAGGCCATTTTAAAGTCCTTGTCTGTTAATTCCAGAGTCCCAGTTATGCCTGGGTCTGTTTCTATGGACTGATTTTCCCTTCTGGTCATGGGTCACATTTTTCTATTTTTTAAACATCTAGCAATTTTTGATTGAATGCTGGTCATTGTGGCATTACAAATTTTTTTTTAATCCTCACCTGAAGATATTTTTTTACTTATCTTCAGATAGAGTGTGAGGGAGGGAGAGGGAGAGAAAGAAACATCGACATGAGAGGGACACATCGACTGGTTGTCCCACATGACCCTTATCTGAGCAGGAACAAACCGCAACCAAGGTACATGCTCTTGACCAGAATTGAACCTGCAACTCATTGGTCCATGGCTGTTGTTCTAACCAATGAGCCAAACCAGCCAGAGCACAATTTTCTTTTTTTTGGTCTGGATTTTGTTATCTTCCTTTACAGTGTGTCGACATCTGTTTTGACAGCCAACTAAATCACTTACAGAACTACTTACCCCATCAAGGCATATTTTCAAGCCTTGTTAGGGTATCTAGAGTAGCCTTAAACCAAAGTCAGTTTAGCCTTAATGTCAGGATCCAACAAACAGGGTCTCTACTGAATGCCCCGGATGTTCAATGAGGTCTCCTCACTCTAGCTGATCATAACCTAAATATCTCCCCACGTTGTGTGAACTCTGGAAACTGTTCCACTTACATCCAGCGGTTTCTTCTTTTGCTCTGAGGGCTTTGGGGGTTGCTGTTATTTATTTATTTTTTGGACTAACCTCACAGAATTTCACTTTATGAATGTAGAGTTTAGGACTTAGTTCTGGACTTCAGCGAACGCACACTTTTGCTGCACGACTGTAGCTTCCTTAGCTTCCTCAAACAATGCTCTCTGTCTCCCGAGCTCAGCAAGCCACGCTCTCTGTGTTCCCTCCCTGTGTCCAGAAAGTGCCTGTAGGCGGAAAGTTGGGACAATCATAGGGTTTACCTCATTTGTTTCCCTTCTCTGCCTGTTGTCCAATGTCTGAATTGTTTCATAGATTTTTTGTGTCTCAGTTGTTTTCTATTTCTTTCTATTTAAAAGTCCAAAGTCAGTTACTTTGTCTTGGCCAGAAGTGTAAGTCAACTCATATTTTATATAGGCATATACCTGTGTAACTATCACTTTAACCCTAAAAGACCCTGAAAAAGTCTCTCTTGCTCATTTCCAGTTGGTATCAATCCTCAGATGCAAATTGCTCATTTCTATTTCCACTCATTAATTTACTCATTCGTCATTTACTGAGCCCTTAGTACTGGCCATACTGTGATGTACAAGGAGAACAAAATAGGCAACTGCCTTGATTCGTTACATCTTCAGTCGCACAAAGAAATGTGAGATTATGAAAGTGGTAAGTGTCTCACAAAGAGGTTAATGGTACTATATGTTTAAAAAAAAAACCACACACACATTTAATAGGAGGAATTTTCCTTACCTGTGTGGTCCAAGAGAGCTTCCTTGGGGAAGTTACATGAGCTAAGACCTAAACAATGAATAAACATCTACTGGGGGGAGGATGATGAGGGGAGAGGAAGAACACTCCAAGAGTAGGGGACAGCGAAGATCACATGTGCGGATCATAAAAATGGGCAGAATGGCCGGACACAGCCGTCCAGAGAAAAGGCCTTTGAGTTGTGTGATCACGTGAGAGGGGCCAATGGAGGCCAGAGTGCAGGTTCAGTGAAAGATTTCTCTAGGAAACGAGAGGCTACTGAAACACTTTAAAATAGTAAGTGCTGACATGGGTTGGGAAATAAGCAAGAAGGAGGTGCGTGGTGGTGCCCTGGATGGAGATATTAAAAGATGTTTCAGTTATTTTTTTTTCTTTGTTCTTTAAAATATATTTTTACTGATTTTTTAGAGAGAGAGGAAGGAAGGGAGAGGCATAGAAACATCTATGTGAGACAGAAACATTGCTCAGCTGCCTCCTACACGCTCCCTACTGGGAATCGAGCCCACAACCCGGGCATGTGCCCTGACCAGGAATGGAAGCAGGACCTCTCAGTCCAGGGGAGGATGCTCAGTCCACTGAGCCACGCTGGCCAGGCAAAAGAGGTTTCAGTTGTAATTTTGTTGGGAGATGGTGTTTGGGTGGGAGTGTGTGTTCAGTTTGGGCGATTCTGAGCTTAAGGCTTATTTGCAACATCAGGAGGAAATATCAAGTAGGTGGTTAGATATACAGAGTTCAGAGGAAAGGTCTGGACTGGAAATTAAAAATAAGTAATTTGCATTTTTTAGTAATAGAGCAGTGGGTGGTGTGTGATGAGATCAGCTGATGAGAGGAGAGATTAAAGTGAGGAGAGTGCTGGGTGCTGAGCCCATGAGGATGGGGCAGGAGAAGGGAAACCAGCAGAGGTGACTGAGGAGGAGGATCGGGGTGGGGGGGACACAGCATGGTGTCACAGAGCCCAGGGCGGGGATGGATAAGAAGCTGAGTGTGGTCTCTAGTGCCAAGTGCTACTGATAGGTCAGGTAAGGCAAGAGCCTAGACATGTTCATGGGCTGCCCCACTGCTGTGGACTCAGGACCCAGAGCAGAGTCCCAGGGCCGGGAATGTGGGGGAGGGGAGGCCACAAAACCTGGTTGGATTCCCGGTCAGGGCACATGCCCCGGTTGTGGGCTCGATCCCCAGTAGGGAGTGTGCAGGAGGCAGCCAATCCATGTTTCTCTCTCTCCATCTCCATTCCTGTCTCTAAAAAAAAAAAAAGTTTTTATCTTTTTTATTTTATTTTATTTTTAATCCTCACCTGAGGACATTTTTCCATTTTTTTGTTCAGATAGAGTGGGAGCGAGAGAGGGGGAGAGGGTGAGAAACATCGACATGAAAGGGACACATCAAGTGGCTGCCACCCGCACAACCCAACCAGGGCCAGGGACAAACCGCAACCGAGGTACATGCCCTTAGCGGGAACCAAACCTGGGTCTCTCTGGACCACAGGCCGACGCTCTAACCGCTGAGCCAAACCGGCCAGGGCTTTTTTTTTTTTTTCTTTAAATAGGGCAGTAGCTAGAAGGGAGTGGGATATTTATTGTGTCTTCAGTAGTTTGTTTGACTTGATGCGCTAGACTTGAACATCTTCAAAAGCCAATGGCAAGGATCCAGTAAGGTGGGGTGTTTAAATACAGAAGAGAGAGGTGGAAGGGCCCTGAGGTGGAGGTAAAGGATGCTTTCTAAAGTTCCGGGAGGAAGAATGACCTTAGAAGAAGGGCTAGCTGAAGGAGTGGGGGAGGGGAGGAGCGCTGGGCAAAGGAGGGCCATGTCTTCGTGGGGCGAGGCAGTTCCTCTGCTGAGGGCTCTCTGATCCAGGTGTGGGGGCAGGGTGAGGAGCCCACATAAGGAAAAGGCTGAGACATCCCCTGCAGGCAGCGGGACAGGCGGTCAGGGCTTTGGGAGCAGGCAAGTCGAGACGGGTGACTGGCAATTCGCAGCAGACCCTACTGCCTACCTTAGTCCTTGCTGAAAATATCCATCATGGATGCAGAGATCCCAGGGTGGGTAGCGCTTTGGAATGAAATGAAGCTGGATAAGAAGACAAACGAACACGGGGTGGGGGGACCGCGGGAAATGAAGCTCTCCGGGAACCCACGGCAGCTGCTGCTGGTTGGACGTGAGCTGGGCCAGGTGGAGACGGATCTGATAGCCAGGTGCTCGGGCGTTCCTCCCACGGTCAGTGGGAGCCACGGAGGGATCTGAATATCCAGGGACATGCCCGTCCCTTCACCCCACCTCCCAGGCCCAGAGGGTCAGATGCCATGCTAGCATCACACAGACTGCCTCACGTTTTCCTCGGAGCCACCCTTTTCCACGGCTGGGGAAAGTGAGACTCGGGGAGGAGACGCCGGGAGAGGCCGTTGCACAAGAACACAGTCCTTAAACACAATGTACTGCTCGGAGGTGGTGAGGAAACAAATGGTCTTGCTTAGGCTCTGCCTTGGGGTTGGCTGTCAAGATCGAGGGCTACAGTCAGTCATTACTACCCACGCTAGCACAGCAGACGCCCCAGCCCATCACACGGCGTCCTGCAGGCCCCCATTCCCACATGGCTTCCTGAAGACCCCAGCCTGTCACAGAGCTCATCAAATGGGAGAAACTCGGGGTTTCAGTGTCGCGCTCCTCCCTCCTGTGTTCCCTTCCACCCTGGTCCAGACACCGGCGTAAAGGCTCCCCAGCTCAGGTCAGTGCGCCAGCACCCACTGAGCTGTGCGCCATACCGGGCTGGAGGCGGGGAGAGCGATGAATGCCACACGTAGCTACCAGAATAGTCTTTGAGAATTCCATCATGATGGAGGCAGGCCTCCGCATCAGTCCTTCAGTGCTCCACGGTCCGGAATGAAGCCGGTTATGTCAGCGCCAGGCCTCTGATTCTGCAGCCTGTCGCTCACCCCTCCCTGTCCCCTTTTCCTCCAGCCTCTCTGGGGCTGAGACTCTGTTTCATGGACCCTGGTAACTGTCCTAACGGGTCCCCATTCAATTGCTAATGGTGTGGAATGTTGCAGGGTCTCTAATTCAGGGTCTGGACCCTCAGCTTACCTCCCCTCAATGGTTCTTGCCTCTCTTGCAGACGTACTTCGCTCCAAAATGGCATCTTCCTTTTATCAAGTGTTCTTAGTTGTGAGCCTCTGTGCTCCAATCTGTTGTGTGTCCTCATCCAGTGCCCCCAGCCCATCCTCCACAAAGAGCACCCCTGCCTCCCAGGTGTCCTCCAGCAATGCCAACTTTGCCTTCCGCCTGTACCAGAGGCTGGTTTCAAAGACCCCAAGTCAGAACATCTTCTTCTCCCCCGTGAGTGTCTCTGCTTCCCTGGCCATGCTCTCCCTCGGGGCCCGCTCAGCCACCAAGACCCAGATCCTTCAGAGCATGGGGTTCAACTTCACACACACGCCAGAGCCCGCCATTCAGCAGGGCTTCCAACATCTGGTCCACTCCCTCAATGTCCCCAGCAAAGACCTGGACTTGAGGATGGGGAGCGTCCTCTTCATCAAAAAGGAGCTGCAGCTGCAGACACATTTCCTAGACAACGTCAAGAGGCTGTATGAGTCGGAAGTCTTTTCTACAGACTTCTCTAACACCTCTTCTGCCCGGGAGAGGATCAACAGCTATGTGGAGAAGGAGACCAAAGGGAAGATTGTGGACTTAATTCAAGACCTTGAACCTCAGACAGCCATGGTCCTGGTGAACTACATTTTCTTTAAAGGTAAGGCTCTGAGAGGTTGATTTTGATTTTAACCTTCTGTTCCTCCCTACCTGCAGTCAAATAATCAAGCTAGACAAACCCTGGACAACAGGGCAGAGCAGGGAGAAGGCCCGAGTTCAAACTAGCTTTGCAACTAGCTGGGTGCATGACCTTGGCTGTCTCATGTTCTCTCTCTTAGCTTCAGTGTATCAATCACAACTTGGGCTCATTCAGTTCTGTCTTTGTATATATAGCCTGATCATGTGTCCTGAGGGGCTAACCCTGGGCTCTGTGGGCAGCCCATGGAAAAAACTTTTCCTAGAAATTAGCTTGGGAGAAAAGAGTTTCTCTCTCCCCACCAGTAGCTGCCCCATAGCCCCCCGAAGTTTTTGAGAAGGAACACAGCTCCCTGACAAACCAGGCTAAGAAACAGACTGATAGTTGCCAGAGGGGAGGGGGGTTGGAGGGCTGGGTGAAAAAGGTGAAGGGATTCAGAAGTACAAATTGGTGGTCACAGAATAGTCACAGAGATTGAATTACAATGTAGGAACATCGTCAGTAATGTCGTAATAACTATGACGGTGCCAGGTGGGCACTGGAAATATCGAGGGACCACTCTGTAAAGTACATGACTGGCCACTATGCTACACATCTGAAACTAACATGGAATAATACTGAATGTCGACTGTAATTAAAAATAAAAAAAGAAGCCAATTCAAAGGTGAGAATACTTTCATAGGTGTGGACGTGCAGACAGGCCGGTGGAACTGTCAGTCACATTTCCTGTACATCTGTCGAGAGCTTCACAGTGGACAAAGACATTGTGTCGCACGGAATGAGCTTAAGTTTTAAAGTCGGACAGTCCCGGTTTTAATTCCACCTCTGCCCTTACTTGCTCCATGGTCCTAGGCATGTTGCTTTAAAAGATCAACCATGTGTTGAGTGCCTGACATGAGCCAGTCTTCATGCTAACTGGATGGACATAAAGCCAACTTCATAGGGTTGTGCTTAGGGTTGAAGTGCCTAGACTCTCCAGGCAGAGTTATCACGGACACTACTGCACATCCCTCTCTCCGTCCTCTCCCTCCTCCCTTCCTTTCTGCCTCTCTTCATGCATCCTTCCACCCACTTACCATCCATTCTGCAAGGTGGGAGGAAGGGAAAAAGAATTAATATGCTCGAGTCCCTGCTAAGTTCCCTGCACTTAGTATATGTTGTTCCGCTTAACTTAATTTTATTAAAATATAATTCACAAGCCATGAAATTCACCATTTTAAAGTATACAATTCAGTGGATTTTGGTTTTGGGTTTTGGTTACTTGATGTCATATCCACAGGATTGTGTAAATACCTCTGCTATAGAAGCCACATCATTTTGATGAGCTCAGAAAGAAACCCACTATCCATTAGCAGTCACTCCTTGTTCCTGCTCTTCCCCCCAGCAACAATCAGCTTCTTTGTTTCTACAGACGTGCCTGTTCTGGACATTTCATATAAATAGACTCTCACAATGTGTGCAGGTCTTTCAGTAAATGTCCTCTTTGATTCTTTATACCAAGGAGCATGATTACGGGATGGAGTGGTAAGAATCTGTTTGGTTCTGAAAAGAACCACCAAACAGTCTTGCAAAGTGTCTGCCCCATCTTGGATTCCCAGCAGCAAGTGTGAGAGTTCCCGTGGCTCCACATCCTAGGTGGCGTTGTCCGTGTTCCAGAGTTTTGCCATTTGAATAGGTGTGTACTGGTATCTCATTGTTGTTTCAATTTGCATTCCCCTGATGACATATGATTCAGAACATCTTTTCGTGTGCTTATTCACCACCTGTGTATCTTCTCAAGGCCTTTCCATTGTTTAATCCGGTTGTTTGTTCTCTATTGTTAAATTTTAGGAGTTCTTTGTATGTTTTGTCAGATGTGTGTTTTACAAATTCCTTCTTGCTGTCTGTGGCTTGTTTTCTCATTCCCTTAACACTGTCTTTCCAGAGCAGAAGTTTTGAATTTTAATGAAGTTCAGTTTATTAATTTTAATGAAGTTCAGTTTATTAATTATTTCCTTTATGTATTGTGTCTTTGGTATTATATCTGAATAGTTATTGCCATACCCTAGGTCATCTAGGTTTTCTCCTATTTTACCTTGTAGGTTTACATTTGTGTTTTACATTTAGGTCTATGAGCCATTTGGGGTTAATTTTTGTAAAGAGTGTGAGGTTTGTGTCTAGATTCATTATTGTGCATACGGACATTAGTTACTCCAACGCCATTTGTTGAAGAGACTGTCTTTGCTCCATTGATTGCCCTTTGCTCCTTTGTCAAAGATCAGTGGACTATATTTATCTAGATCTATTTCTGGGCTCTCTATTCTGTTCTGTTGCTCTATCTGTCTGTTTTTCACCCATACCACACTGTCTTGATTACTGTAGCTTTATAGCAAATCTTGAAGTTGGTTAGAGTCAGTCTTTCAACTTTGTTCTTCTCCTTCAATATTGTGTTGCTTATTCTGGGTCTTTTGCATCTTTATATAAATGTTAGAATCAGTTTGTTGATACGTACTCTATAACTTGCTAGGGTTTTTTATTGGGATTTCCTTAAATCTATAAATCAAGTTGGGAAGAATTGATATCTTAACAATATTGAGTCTTTCTATCCAGAGACATAGAATATCTTTCTATTTATTTAATTATTTGATTTCATTTATAAGAGTTTTGTAGTTTTCTTCTTATAGATCTTATACATATTTTATTAGATTTATGCCTATTTCATTTGGGAAGATGCTAAATGGTATTATGTTTTTAATTTCAAATTCTACTTGTCCATTGATGGTATATATAAAAGTGACTGACTTTTGTATGTTAATCTTGTATCCTGCAACCTTGCTATAATCACTTATTAGTTTCAGACATTCTTTTGTTGATTCTTTTGAATTTTCTACATAGACAATCATGTCATCTGCGAACAAAGAGTTTTATTTTCTCCTCCATGATCTGTATACCTTTTATTTCCTTTTCTTGTCTTATTGCATTAGCTATAACTTCCAGTACAATGTTGAAAAGGAGTAGTGAGAGAGGACATCCTTGTATTATACCTGACCTTAATGAGGAAGTTTTGAGTTTCTCACTATGTAGTGTCATGTTAGCTATAAGTCCTTTTGCAGAAATTCTTTATCAAGTTGAGGAATTTCCCCTCTATTCACAGTTTATTGAGAAGTTTTTTTGTGGGGGTGGGTTTTTTAAAAATCATTAATGGTTGTTAGATTTTATCAAATGCTTTTTCTGCATCTATTAATATGATCATGTAATTGTCTTTTCTTAGCCTGTTTATATGACAGATTACATTAATTGGTTTTCTTTTTTTGTTTGTTTGTTTGTTTGTTTGTTTTAATCCTCATCCGAGGACATTTTTTCATTTTTTGTACAGACAGAGTGGGAGGGAGAGAGAGGAGGAAGAGAGAGAGAGGGAAACATCGATGTGAAAGGGACACATCGAGTGGCTGCCACCCGCACGACCAACCAGGGCCGGGGACAAACTGCAACCGAGGTACATGCCCTTAACGGGAACCAAACCCGGGCCTCTCCGGACTAACCGCTGAGCCAAACCGGCCAGGGCCATTAATTGGTTTTCAAATGTTGAACCAGCTTTGCAAACCTGGTATAAACTCCATTTGGTCATAGTGTATAATCCTTTCTATATGTTGTCAGATTTGATTTGTTAATATTTTGTTGAGGATTTTTTGCATTAATGTTCATGAGAAATACTGGTCTGTAGTTTTCTTATGTCTTTATCTGGTTTTGGTATTAGGGTAATACAGGCTTCATAGAATGAGTTAGGGAGTATTCTCTCTGCTTCTTTCTTTTGAAAGAGATTGTAGAGAATTGGTATCATTTCTTCTTTAAATATTTGGTAGAATTCACTGGTGAATCCATCTGAACGTGGTACTTTTTTGCAACTTCCTCAGGCAGCTGCAAACTTTATCCCTGTCTGTAATGTTTTTTGTTTTAGAAAGTTATCAATTATTATCAATTTCTTTAATAGATGTAGGCCTATTCACATTGTCTATTACTTCTAACAGGAGTTTTAGCAAATTGTGCCTTTCAAGGAATTGGACCATTTCATCTAGGTTGTCAACTTTGTGGGCATAGAGTTGTTCATAGTATTCCTTTATTTTCCTTTTAATGTCTCTAGGATCTGTAGTGGTGTTCCTTCTTTCATTTCTTATACTACTAGATTGTTTTTTTCCTGTGTATGGCCCATAATTTGTTTCTTTTTATGCCAAATAATTTTTTAAGCTGGATTTTTAAAATTATTTCCCCCTCCAAAGGGTTTGTTGTTACTGCTTGTTGCAATAGTTGTTTGCTTATTGATTTTTCTTAAATAATTTTTAAAGTCTATACTTTATCATGTGTAGTCACTGAAGTCTGTTCCTGGTTATTTTAATGGTCAGCTATGGTTGGGCAGAGGTTTCTTAAATGCCTGGAAGAAATACATCTCCAAGTCTTTGCAGAGGGTCTTTGTGGGTATGGTGCAGCATGCCATCAACATTCATCAAGGCAGTTTATAACACTGATCTAGCATTCAGTTTCTGTTTGTGCAGAACTTCAAGGTCAGTCAGAGGTAAGAACTTACAACCTTCTCATATGTTTTTTGTTTTGTTTTTTAAATATGCACATAACATTACACATGCACACAGCATCTAAATGCCCAGGGTACACTGGATCTTTCCAAAGTTTCTATGGACACTTTTTCTTCAGCTTTTGCTTTAAAATTTTTTGATTAGTCTGTTGTTTTTCCCATCTGTTATCATCATCCAGGCAACCATGAAGCTAAAACACTTGCTTATAATTGTTCCTAGCAAATACTCCCTTACTCTGGAGGAGAAATGCATTTAGCGCTGAGTGAACACCAAGAAATTCTGTAAGTGGGGTCTTCCAGGAAACTATCAGACAGGTCAAATAATATGACTCTTTAGAAAAGAGGCTTTGAAACTTCTTCAGAACTGTTTCTCTCCCTCTAGTACTGAGATACAGTTTGCTATTTTTCAAGACTACTGCTGAGCTAGAGAGAGGAGGGGGAGACTAAAACAAGTTAAAATGCCACAAAGTTGACTGTTCTCGTTGAGCCTTTTTTTTTTTTTTAATGGACTCTCCCCCCGCTACTGCAAGACTTTGGCTAACTTCCAGAGTTCTGAAAATGCCAATTCTGACTATTTCTGCCAATTTTTCTTGTTGCCTTTTTGAAAGGGTAAATATGCAGAGGTCCTTACTTTGTCATTTTTGCAGATCCACCCCCACCATCACCTCCGGCCTGTCCTATTAAGCTTTTTTTTTTTAATCCTCACCCGAGGATATTCTTCCATTTATTTTCAGACAGAGTGGGAGGGAGAGATAGAGAGAGAGAGAGACACACACATCAAATGGTTGCCTCCCGCACCACCCAGACTAAGGCCAGGTACCGAACTGCAACCAAGGTATGTGCACTTGACCAGACTTGAACCCATGACTCTCTGGTCCACGGGCCAACACTCTAACCACTGAGCCAAACCTGCCAGGGCCTATTAAGCTTTTTGATTATTCAGTTGTTATCCTCAGCCTCAAGCAGCTGAAAAATTTATCAGTGCCTGTAACTAAATTTTGACTAATTTTCCATAAGGACCTGGCTTTTTGCATCAGATCAAATCCAGACAGCTTTGCAGGTGATGCCTTCCAGGGAAGCATAAGGCCACTCAAATAATGAGAATTCTTTGGGAACGAGGCTTTGAAAAGGTTCCAGCCCCATTTCTTTCCTTCAGTGACTGTGGGTGGCTGGATTTCACTGCAAATGCAGGCTATTGTGTTTCAAGGCTCCTATGGAGCTGGGCATGGGGAGTGGAACAGGACAAGTTAAAATACCACCAAGCTGACTATTCTTACCAAAATTTAGCTGTTTTTCTTTAATAAATTGTTTCTCAGTTTGCTGAAAGCATTTGGTTAATTTCCAGAGTTCTAAAAAAGTTCATTTTAGCCATTGTTGGCAGGTTTCTCCTTGTTTTTCTGGTGGCGTTTTCAGAGTCCTTACTTTATCATTGTTTCTGTCTTCACCACACTGATTACACTGTGACGAAAGACCTCTCTCTCTTTGTGCTAGCCAAGTGGGAGAAGCCCTTTAACCCGAGGTACACAAGTAAAAGATACCCATTCTTGGTGGGCAAGACCACCGTGAAGGTCCCAATGATGCACCAGGTGGAGCAGTTTGCATTTGCGGTGGACCCGGAGCTGAACTGCTCTGTGCTGCAGATGGACTACAGTGGGGACACCGCGGCCCTCTTTGTCCTCCCCGGCCAGGGCAAGATGAGGCAGCTGGAACAGGCCTTGTCATCCAGGACACTGAGGAAGTGGAGCCACTCACTCCAGAAGAGGTGGGTACCTCTGTCAATCTGCCGGGGCCTGAGGCAGGTGATGGTATACGTCTAAGAACGGGGGAAAGACCATGACAGCGGCTGTGGAATAATCACTCCTGCAAAGTGAGCGCCAACTGCATGCGGGACAGGGAGCTCAGTGCTGTGCACAAGTGTTCTCACGTGAACGTCGCAATCACCCCCATTCACAGACAAGGAAACAGAGGCTCCAAGAGAGGAAGTGAATTACCCAAGGCCAAGCAGCTACTATGCCCCTGTAAAACTATTATATCACTGTAGCTATTCCATGCTAGCTGAGCTTACTCTATCAGCCAATAAGATATTTAATTCCATAAAAAACAACAAACACACATTGGTGCTCACCTACAAATGAGGATAATAACATCACTGAACTCATAGGTTGTTGGAAAGATAAAATAAGTTACCATTTATAAAGTGCTTAGGAGGATGCCAGGGAGATGATAAGGGTTCAATAAATGTCAGCTAATAGTAATATTATCATTAGTTCTATAATTTTTATGAAGAGTATCAAAGGGACGTTAACCATAAGAGAAAAAGGAGTGACAAAGTCTTAGGTCTGATCTCTTAGCAGCATTTTCTTGGCACTGTGTCTGGGAGGGGAGAAAGGATGGGATCAGGGTAACTGTAATTTGGGAAAGACACAGATCAATGCCCAAGGGAGGGCTGAGGGGCGTCTGAGCAGAGATCACGTGCAGCCGGGACTGATGGGCGCCTTCAGGGAGGCGGGGCATTTGAGCCACAGTATGGCTAGAACATGAAGGGACGGCCAGGACACAGAGGCTTGGACAAGGCATATTTGGCCAAGGAAACAGCACTAGCGAAGATGCGAGGTTGAGGATCGAGGGACACTGTAGAATGTGTCGCAGGTTTCTTCTCTTCTTAGATTGCAACCAAGGCTGGATAGGGGCAGAGGAGAGAGCAAGCGCGGAGGCTGGGGGTGGGCGTGGGGGTGTCCGTAAAGAGACAGAGCAGAGAGAAGATGAAGATGGCCAAGCCAGGGTAAGACACAAAACAGGGAAGAGAGCTGTCGGTGGTGCTTGCTGTCACGGGAAGTCCATCAGTGGGCACCCAAGTGTCCGTCCAACACTTCTGTGCTTACATTTCTGTGACTCAGTAAGCACATGACTGGGCAAAGCACTAAAACGAAGCTTTATCATTTCTAAAACTGGAGATGGTGTTCAAGGATGTGCCTGAGGCGATGCCTGGCACACAGTAAATGCTCCATAAACGCAGGCCGTTTCTCACTCTTGGTTCACGGAAACTAAGAACATGCCAGACTCCAGAGCTGTGCTGTCCAATGCAGCGGCCATCAGCCACAGGTGGTTATTTAAGTTTAAATTAATTAAAATGAAATGAAATTAAACATTTAGTTAGTTCCCTGTAGGCACTAGCCACATTTACGTTGCTCGATAATCACATATGGTTAGTGGCTATCATATGGGACATCGCAGATATGGAATATTTCCAACTTTGTAGAAAGTTCTGGACTTTGAGGCTCTCGGAGATTAGGAGGGTTTGTCTCAAGAAGGGTTGGTGGGGGGCACTCTGGTCCAGGGGAGGCAGGCTCACTCCCGTCACTATCCAGTGCCTCCCACTGGTCTCTGCCATAAGCTCCCATCTCTACAATGGCCCCTACTTCATTAGGGGGCCTGCTTTTCATCTCACACATCTTTAGGGCTGGACTTGCTCATCCAGGAGACTTACTTCCAAAGCAACCCAGGTTGGTTGTCCGGGATGTGTTCACCCGAGTGGAAGAAGTCTCCTGAAATGCCGCCTAGACACAGAGAAGGGGACCCAGGGCCTCTGACCTCACCTCTTCTTGTCCCCTTCTCCACAGGTGGTTAGAGGTGTTCCTTCCAAAATTTTCCACTTCTACCTCCTACGCCCTGGAAACCATCCTCCCGAAGATGGGCATCAGGGATGCCTTTGACAGAAAGGCGGATTTTTCTGGAATCACAAAGACAGACTTCCTGCAGGTTTCCAAAGTGAGTTGGTCCGGGAGCGTGTTTGCAGGAAAGGCAGCGTTGGAAGGGCCTGCAGAGACTGGCCAATCAGCACACTCATCTCACTGATAAGGCAACCGAGTCCCCAGGAGGCGAAGTGACTTCTTTGTGGCAGAAATAGGGCCGATCCCATGGCCAGGCCTGTGGCCACCGTACCTCTGATACACGGGCCCCTTATCCCTCTTCAAACAAGTGTTCCTAAGATTCAATGACAGTCCTGTGAGAACCGGGCATCGCCCCACACCAGCTGCAGACGAGCAGGTGCCCAGCTGGCATTCGACCTCACCTCCCTGGGGCCCAGGCCCTCACACCGAGGTCATTCGATGGCTGCCCTTGGGCCATTAGTACCCTGTTGATGTGTTTGGCCTGCCGTGATTAAGAAAAGAAAAAGGAAGAAAGAAAAATAGGAAAAGAGGGAGCTGACTTCTAAAACGTAGGCTATTGGACCTAAAAAACTAGATTTCTGATTCTCTTGGAACAAATCATCGAGTCAGTCCAAACCTCTACATAGAGGCCACTGGTTGGAGCTGAGCCATGAGCACCCCTTTTAGACAGAGGGCACCTCCTGGTTCCCCATGGACCCCATGCTCTCACAAGAGGTCTTCTCATCCCATTGGGGTTACCCTGTCTTCATATGGGTTTCCGATCCCTGACCTAACATTTATTCTGATAACAGATCATACTGGTCAGAAGTGGCCCCAGGCCTCGGAGGGGATCCTTTGTCACTGGTGTCCAGGGAAGGACCACAGGCAGATTCCACAAGAATACGATGAGCAACCCTGGCCGCGTGGCTCAGTTGGTTAGAGCATCATCCTGTACACCGAAAGGTTGTGGGTTAGATTCCAGGTCAGGGCACATGCCCAGGTTGTGGGTTCAATGCCCAATCAGGGTGCATACAGGAGGCAACCGATCTATCTTACTCTCTCTCTCTCTCTCCCCCACCCCTCCCTCCTTCTCTAAAATCAATAAACATATCCTCAAGTGAAGATTAAAATAAGAATATGATGAGCATAGTGGATTTCACATGCACAAATGAAAAATAATGGTTGAATTGTCGGGAGTTCACGAGCCCCCCAAACAAGGCAGTGCGTGAACCCAGGCGAAGAATCTCTAGTCTGGAAGAGCAAGTAGGGAGGCGATATTCAGCCGTGCCTAAGCCCCGTCCCCCACGCAGCCCCCGGTACACGTACGTCGTAGGATCTCCTTCCATTCATCAGATAACCCCGTGGGACACGTGCAATTATTATCACCCTTTTACCTAAATAACTTTTGCAGTGACAAGTGGCACAACGGGGACTCAGATCTGGGTCTTTCTGGGCTGTATTTGTAACCTTCATCTCCATGCTCAGGAGCCAACCAACTGGCCGGTAGAAAATCTCATGCCAAGCATTTGGCCTCTTGGGGGGTGAGAGTCTCCATTTCCAGGCAAAACCCCCAAACTCAGTTTTTAAAAAGGGTCGATGTTTGTTTTCCCCTTGGCAGGCCGCCCACAAGGCCGTGCTGGACATCAGCGAGGACGGTACCACAGCCGCAGCAGCCACCGCCACCAAGCTCACGATCCGGTCGAAGGACAGCCCCTCTCCTGCCATCTGCTTCAACAGGTCCTTCCTGCTGCTGATCATCAACAAAGCCACAGAGACCATACTCTTCCTAGGCAAGGTTGAAGATCCCACCAAATTCTAGGCGGGAAAAGGCCTTTGACTGATGACCTGTTAGCAGTACACAGGAAATAAGCCACGTTGCCCCAAGATCCCGGTGTGACATTGGGATGTGCCACCCCTCCCCCTCCCCGGTTCTCAGGGTCCACCTGATCCCAGCAGAGCTGCATTTGCTGCCCAGATGCCACTTTTGAGGCTCAGTCATCAAAAGTCCGCAGCGATCCGGGTCACATACCAAAGCCCAGGAACCCCAGTCATGGTCTTTTCCACAAAGCTCCCGGGTGACGGGCGGCATGGAATGTGTCTGGGTTGGCACATTTTCATTCCTTAGCGACCCTGGGAATGGTAACATAGCCCAGCGACCTTTACTCCAGAATTACAGTAAACTTAATAAACCTAAAATGTGAGTTTGGCCTCCACACTGCCCCCACGGGCCTCCAGGGTGCTCACTTGAAGCGCTCTGTGGTTAGCTCACAGTGGCCAGGGGTCATTATGTGACATCTCTGTGGCTGCACAAGTTCCTTCTCTCACTCAACAAGAACGTATTGAGCACCTAATACACGCTAGGTGTGAATCGGACAGACAAGGGCCATGAAGGCGTTGATGAGTATGATTGGAAATGGGGTAATGGGACAGCGGGGGAGGGGTGTTTCTGTGAGCACACAGGCCGCGTGGGGAACGAGCAGGCACGTGGGAGGGACAGAAGGAGCCCCCTGAGGCTGCAATGGCAGAGCCAAGGTCAGATCATGTCAGGTGTTTTGGCCACGGCAAGGAGTCTGGGTTTGGTGGGAGGCGCTGTTAAACCCGCTGAGTTTCTCAGGTGGGAGATGAGGGTTAAGGTGTGGGTTGTGGAGGCCTGTCGGGGAGCACGCACCGGATGTCCATCCAGACTGCTCAAGGCTGGCTGCCTTCTTGGCTCTGCGCCGTCACATGCGCACAGTCCTGTGGGTGCTCAGCCTGCCCCCTCCTGGTTTGGCGTGACAATGGCCAGGCCTGGTGCCCTGGGCCGCAGGGGTTCCATCCTCCCCACCTCTGCCCGTGGGCTGCTCCGGCTCTGCCCACTGCACCTTTCATTCCTTATGCAGGGTAACTCCTGCAGCCTCGGAGAAGCCCCACTCCCTCAGACCCACACACTGCCTCCCGGGCGGGCCATGCCCACACCACCGCCGTGTGCTGAGGGCCTCACCTTGGCTTTCCCAAGCTCTTTTGCACAGAAAGAGAAGGGGGTTATGCTAGAGAGCTGGAGAGGCTTTGTGGGGCCCCCCACACTCCCACCGTACTCACAAACAGGGGAGCAGAGACCCAAGAAGCGTGAGCAGCCAGCCCCGGGCAGCGTGAGGACCAGGACCGAAGCCCGCGCGTGGGGCTCAGCACGTCCTCGCTGTGTGCACGGCGCCCTGCCCTCAGCACACCATGCAAATCCACGTCTCTGGGGACAGGATCACAGGGGAGTGGGGGGTGGGCACAAAGGTGAAGAGGATTAAGAAGTACAACCTGCCAGTTATTAAGTTATTAATCACGAGGACGTGGCGTGCCGTGTACAGCAAAGGGAATACCATCAGTGACACTGTAGCAACTATGTACGGTGCCAGGCGGGCACTAGGCTTACTGAGGGGATCATCACTTTGTAAGGTATATACATGTCTCATCACTGGGTTGTACACCTGCAACTACTGTATGCCAACTATAACTTTAAAATAAAAATGAAAATCAGTTATCTGTTTATTGATTTGGTACTGAACATAAAGCCCGAGCGTAAGGCAGTCACCCTGTCCTCCAAGGCGCACCCTGGCTAGGACCTGGCTCCGTGAAGAGCCACCTCAGAGGAAACTGGCCCACAGATAACAAATGGCTGGTGTGTAGGACTGGCTGGAGCTACGGCCATTGGGTTCTCCTCGGAGCTACTGGGAGTCCCCGGGGGTGGGGCAGGGCTGTGGCTTTCTTCCCCAGGACCCGGCCCCAGGGGGCACATTACAGCCCCAGTGGCCTCCCCAAACAACACAAAACAGCTGTCAGCTGGGTGAGGTCGCACCCCCGCCTCTGGGTAGGTGCAGAAACGCCCCCAGGAACACGAGCCTGGCTTTGTCTGTCCTGGTCCTCTGGGGCCTTTAAATGACCTCTTCCGAGAAATACAACAAGACTCCAAATGGGATGTTTACCAGTCTCAGGACAGCAGACCTCACCTCTCCCACAGAAGATGGGAGACACAGAAGAGGGCTGTGAGGGTTTTGCCCACAAGCTGTCCAGGAAACTGTGAATTGGGTGCCCCAGAAAGAATATAATCTGCTCCCCTGTGAGCATCGCCCCGCCTTGGCCATGCTCGCCCTGGGCCCTGGATCCACCGTGCTCACCAACCTCCTTAGGGGCCTGGGACTTGCGCTGGAAGAAACCCGAGGGCGGGACAGGCCCCGGGACAGCCAGAGGCTCTTCCAGCTGCTGAGACAGCGGAACACGAAGGTGCAGCTGGAGCGTGGGGTCTTGTCCTCGCCGATGACGCGAGAAGATCCACCCCAGGTTCTGCCGCAGACAGAGGCTGAAGCGGAAGGCTACGGGGTTGTCTGTCGAGAGGCAGAGTCACAGAGCAAATCAACCACCTTGTGGCCCAAAGACTGCCTGGGACATTGGAGCAATTCCTCACCCCTGGACCCCCGGGCCTTCCTGCTGCCCGCGAACTACACTTTCTTCAAAGGTGAGGCTTACAGGGGGCATGAGTTCCCGTTTGGGGCCATCTTTGCCCTTGTGCTTCCTAAAAGGTTTGCGTCGGGAGAAAATCTGTTCTGGGTGATCATGTCCCATTTTCCCACAGGCCAGTTGATCCGAAACTTCTTGATTTACCTGATGTCATCGAGTCGTCTAGTGTTTCTCAGTTTTTCTCCCCTGGGCCCTCAATCACGCCGTTTGCCACGTGGAAGAGATCGTGAAGCAACACAATCCGTCTTGCTGGCAAAAAGATGAAATCGGGCAGAGCCATGAGCACCCGCTCACCGGCCTGTGTGCAAGGCCCGACCAGCTGCGTCCGGTGTCGAATGCACGGTCACCAGTTGTCTGAAATGTCACTTTAAATTCCTGGTCACGGATGTCGACTTGGCCGGTTTCTTCAGGGGCTCACTGTGGCCACTCCCAGCGCCCATGGCGTACCCTCTTCTCCACTCAGTCGCTGGCCTCCCTCCACTGACTCCCAGCCGATGGCCGCTCCTCCTCCCCGAGTGGGGCGCCATCAGAGGCCTGCCCGTGCCCACACGGCTTGTTCCCGGCTCCCCCTCCTTCACAGCGAGGAAGTGCGTATCCCCGCCCCTACTCACCGAGAGGCCCTTTCTGTCCCCTTTCTGTCCCCTGCTCACAGGCCTCCTCCCCTTTTCTGCTACCCAACAGCTCAGTGCTCCCTGTCTGTCTCCTCCGCTGGGTTCTCCTCGTCTGCCTCCCATCTCACCTGGGCCTGTGGCCGCAAACACCACCTGCACGCTCCCTGGTCCCCAGTTCCTACCTTCAGCGTGGACCACCTCCGCTGACTCTAACACTCATCTGCCCACGGACGGCTCTATTTGGACGTCTCACCAAACCCTTTGGATGGCCAGGAAAGACCTCTTTCGGGGAGGGGGAGGCATGTAGGCTGAGGCTTAAAGGAAGAGGTGCACCGTCTGTCAAAGGATGGGAGGAAGAACAATCTAGGGAAGGGAAAGCCTTGCACCCCAACCCCTGCACCCTCTCCTGTGCCCCCCTGTGCTCCTCCACATCTCGGACAGTCAGTGCCATCCGCCCACGGGCTCCAGACCACACTTCCTTTCAGCCTCCAAGTCCAGTCCCCCAGCATGTCCTTCGGACCCTGCCTGCAAAGTTGTTGGTGTTCGCTGCTTGCTTTGTCTCCTACCACCGTCCTAGACCAGGACACCAGATCTTTCCTAGATGGCCTGCCCCCGCGTCTGGCTTCCACTGGGCCTCCCTCCAATTCCTTCTCCGCTAGAACAGTCTTCTTAAAACAGACCAGATCACATCATTCCCGTCTGAAGCCCGCCCACTGCTTCCTGTTGCGCAGAATGCAACCCATCCCACCTGGCTGTGGGTGCTTTGAGCCCTCTGATCCCTTCAGCGTGACCCCATCCCTGTCCCAACCACCTCTGTGCCTCACCCACACTGACCTTCTCTTCTTCCTTCAGTCCTTCCCGGCCTCCCACTCTTTCCTGTCTTGCCCATGTTCTTCCTTCCCAGAGAATGTTCTTCCTCCCATCCTTTGCCAGGTGGATCACCCTCTTCTTTTAGAGACCTTCCCTGGCCACCCAAAGGAAGTCCTTCCAAGCTAGTGCTCAGCTCCTCACCTGTGTCCCTCATGATGTCATCATACTTTGTAATCATTTACATTGGTGCATTGGTGCATGGCTTTGCTCCTCGTACCCCGCCCCCCAAGAAAGTAGACTCCACAAGGACACAGACCTCCTCTGTTTGCTCATTGCTATAACCTCAGCGCTTAGTGCAGGACCTGGCACATTTCACATGCGCAAGAAATGAGTAAATAAATGGATATCGTGAGGAGGGAAGAGATAGAAAGATTGTCATGCACAGAATGGTGTGTGTGTGTATGTGTGTGAGAGTGTGTGTGTGTTAGTATGTATATGTGTGTATTTGTGAGTGTATGTGTGTGTGAGAGTGTGAGTGTGAGAGTGTGTGTGTCAGTGTGTATATGAGTGTGTGTGTGCGAGGGTGTGAGTGTGCGTGTCAGCGTGTATATGAGTATGTGTGAGTGTGACTGTGCGCGTGTATGTGTGAGTGTGTGTGTAGGGAGGCTGGGACTTGGGTACCACCTGGCTGGCCATGACTTGCCTTGGACACATGAGATCATGAGGTCTGGTTGTGTCAGGTCATTTCATTAGAGAGGTCAGACCCAGAGGCCCTGGGCATCACTGGCAAGGATATGGCCAAACAGGCTGACCCAAAGATGACATCCAGGAGGCTGGAGCTGGCCTGGGTAGGTATTTCAGTGCAGCAACCAGAGCAGACTAGGCCAGGGGGCGAAATAGAACTACTCCGGGA